GTGTTGCTTCCTATTCAAGCTGTGTCCAGCTTTTCCCCTGGGGCTGCAGAACCTTCCCTACTCCCACCACCAAACCAAGGGATTTATAGCAAAAGCTAAGCCTGCAGTTTACTCTGTGGGTTTAGGGAGCTGAAAGGCTTAAGTAGTTTAAGTAGGTGATGGGAAGGCAAGATTCCCTCATTTAGGGCTCAGGCAGACTCACCTCACATACCCCCTGCTCCCTGTGGTAGAGACACCTGAAATAAAGGGGAAGGTCAATAATCAGATAACAGGAGTAGGTCCTATCAGTGCCCCCCAGAGTAGACAGCAATAATTGCTGAGCCCAGTGCAGTCCTGGCTGTGTTTTCCTACCTGGTGATTGGAAGTGTCCGGTTTGCTTGGCTGCCCATTTTCCTTTTGAGTGGGCAGCCCTGGGCTTGGGCCCCTCCCTCCAGCCCTCAGTGTTGGCTCTGCAGAGGCTCTCGGGTTCCCTTCAAGTGCACGAGGGGCTAGGCTGCTGTCTCTGAGTCTTCCATTCTGTACTGGGGGGCTGGCTAGGACCTGGGGCTGTGGCCTCTCCGGGGGCATTCGCTCCATGGCAGGCATCCCTGCCTTGGGCTGTCCTCCTGCAGACCCCTGGCCACCCCCTGGGTCCTGTCCCCCACCAGAACCCCAGCTCCTGTCCGTGGGGGAGCCATCACGGTGTTCGTGCAGTCCATAGCGCTTCTCAATGTGTGTCACCCGGAACCTGGGAGGGGAGGGAACACTGGGGTTGAGAACCACAACTCAGAGGCTGCTTGGCTCTCCCCTCTGACCAGGGACATCCTGGGTTTGGTGGCTACTTCCCTCAAGCCTAAGGTAGGGGAGGCCTTCTAAGATTGTAGGGCACACTGTATGCCTGACTCCTGCTGGAGCTCCCAGTCCAGGAGAAAAGAGCCAGGGCCCACTTTTGGGATCAAGTGCCTAATCTTTGGGCCCCCTACCTCAACCTCCCTTTCCCTGGAGCACCTGCCCCACCTGCCCACAGAGAACACAGTGGTCTCCCCTGTCCGGGGGCGGCTTTTTCCTTCCTTGGACCGTCCCTGGCGGACAAGTGGAGGCCTCTTGCTGCGGCTGCAATGGATGCAAGGGGCTGCAGAGCCCAGGTGCACTGTGTGATGATGGGAGGGGGCTCCGTCCTGCAGGCTGGAGGTGGCATCCACACTGGACAGCAGGGAGGAGGGGAGCAAGGGGCAACATTTCCATTTCCACTCATGTTTTGTTTCTCATGTTCTTTCAGCATGCTCCTTAAAACTCCAGAAGCCCCAATTTCCCCAGACCCTGACATTTTTTCATGTCTTTAATAAACTCAACATTAAGATATTAGTGACCACGTGTTCTTCTTCCCAGGGCTGTTTGCTAAAAAGAACATTGCTTAGCCCAAAGGAGTGGCACTAGAGGTGAATGTTAGACTTGACGGTATCTAGATGAGAGATACAGTTTGAAGGAATCGAGATTTCTACAAAACTTTCTTCCTATAAGTTAGCCAGCCTTGCCCTTTCCCCAACCCCATACATGCAAGGAGACTGGGAGAGGATTGCGCTGGAGGAGAGGATACTCTCCAAGGCAAGCTAAGTCATGCTGGCCCTTGTTTCCAGCTCACCTGGACAGCTGCACTGTCCCTTCTCCTTCACTGTCCCCCAGCATCTCCTTCAAGGCCTCAGCATTGGCTGAGGAAGAAGGAAAAGAGGGAGTCAGTGGAGGTGGAGGTCAGGGCAAGAGAAGGTTGGAGAAGGAGGGAGCAAGGGGCTAGGCTAGACCCACCTTCATTTTGGATGATGCAGCGAACAATCCTCTCCACTGTGTCCTCATTCATGTCATCCTCCTCAGCTGAAGGATGAAAGAGATTGGCAAGGAAGCAGGAATGAGTCAGCTTTGGGGGAGCATTACCTGGTGGCCCCCATCATTTATTGCTCAGGACATACCCTTTTACCTACTTGCTATCATGCTGGACCTCAGCATTTCAGGGATCAGAAAAGATGGGGACACCAATGGGAACCCAAGACTACCATTGGAGGACCCTTCCTGCCCATGCTGCCTTTTCTAGTTTTGCTTTCAGAGTGGTGTCACCCCACTTGCTGACTCAAGAGTGCATCACTAGGCTTCCTGAGCAGGCTTGATCAGGATTTGGCCTGGGTCTGTTGGTCAGGGAGGCAGAGGTGAGGGGCAAAGGTGTGGGGAGAAGGGCGAAAGGTGACTGAGCCAGGGTTCCAGGCTCTTCACTCACGGGGCCGAAGCTGGGCATCGTCAGGCTCAGAGCCCCTCGACGTGCGGCAGCGGTAGCCCTTCTTCTTGAGCACGTGGCAGATCATGAAGCCTACCAGGCCCATGAGGAAGAAGACCAGCACAAGCAGGAAGAGCATGTACAGCCCATGTTGGGGCGGTTCCAGGTCAGGCTGTGGTTCCGACATGAGGCCCTGGGGGGCGAGCGCGGGCCAGGGCGCCTCCCGGATTTAGGGGGCTGCAGCTGGGAATGGGGGATGGGTAGGAATGCCTTGCTCAGGACCTGAAACAAGCTAGTCTCGGCGGTCCGGCTCCACCCTCTACCCAACCCGGGAGCTGTCCGGGCCAAGGGTGCTGGTTTGCCAATACCGCCCGAGTCAAGAGGTCAGCGGCTACGCAAGCTCTCTACCACAGCCCTAGTCCCGCTTCCCCGACGCCCCGAGCGTTCCCCTTTCCAGCTCGTTCGCGCTTCTGTCCCTCCCAAGGACACTGCAGCACGAGATGGGACGGAATTCTTAGGCGGCAGGAGCAGAAATCGCGCCTGAGTCAGCGCCCTCATCTCCTCCGCGCCGGCCTGAGCCAGGCCTCTGCAACCCCCTCCTTTCAGTACTCCTGCACCCCTCCCCCTTTTCGGTTTCTCCCACCCTGACCACCTGGCCCACCCAGTACCGGTGATTTGGTTCTGGTTCCGGCTTCTGCTCGGGTTCCGGCTCCAGGGGCGTCCTAGTGCGGCTCAGGGCCCCCGACGCCCTCCCGGCGCTCATCCCTTGATTCCTCCCCTCCCCCTTCGCCGCCTCACCGGCCCCGGGCTGTGGCTGCGGATACCGGCGCCGTGGCAGGCGGGGGGAGGGAAGGACAGAGAAGGATGCGGGCTGGCTGGGAGCGGCGGCTGGCTTCGAGCAACTCCGGCCCTGGATCAGGGAGATGGGCGCCTCCGCAGCCGCCCTGGCTTCCCAAATGCCTTCGCCCGTCGCGGGCCCAGGACCAGGGGGCGGAGCGCAGGTGTACGGGGCGGAGAGCGTGAGCCCTGCGCGCGCGTGACTGCGCTGGGCCCCCCCGGGGCAATGTGCGGCGCGGAGTCTGGGTCCAGGTGGGGGACAGGCTGTCCGGTGTGGGTGTTGTCCACTATCCGGCACGCCTGGCGCAGCTCCTGTCCTCAGATGCCCCGACCGAGGGGGGAGTCAGGAATCTTCCCCGAGGGCTGGGGGAAGCCGGCTTTCCGCACCTTTGAGGGACGGAGTGGCGGGACCTTCGTGGCTTCCTAGAGAAGTGACCACGGCCTGCGCCCGGTTTGGGGCAAGCAGCTGGATGGGATGGCTCGGCTTTCCGAGGATCTGACCCCCGGCCGGAGAGAAACGGCCCTTGCATCCTAGGAGCGATGCTACCAGTTCTCCGCCCAAGCCTGGACGCTCAAAGCCCCAGATCCCGGGAGAGCGGAGACGGGCGAGGGGCGGAGCTCCTCCGGGGGCGTGGCCTAGGTGTGGTTGGAGGCGGGCCCGCACCGCCCAGTTCCGCAGAAGCAGGCTACGTGCTGGCGCAGCACGCACGGCCGGGGCGGGGCTGGCGGCGGGCGGCGGAGGCGCGGGGCCTGGTCCCGCCGGCACCATGGCCAAGACCGTGGCCTATTTCTACGACCCCGACGTGGGCAACTTCCACTACGGTGAGGAAACAGGGATATGCAGGAGGGGTTGGGATGCGGAGGTTTGGAGGTGGGGGTTGCAACTCCAGGGGTGAGAGCTGACGAACTCTCTTCTCCCCACCCCCAGGAGCTGGACACCCCATGAAGCCCCATCGCCTGGCATTGACCCATAGCCTTGTCCTGCATTACGGTCTCTATAAGAAGATGATCGTGAGTCCCGCTGCCTCGGCCGTGGGTTGGGGGGTGGGGAGAACTGTGGCCGTAGGGGTAGGTGGGCTGGACTGAGCGTATTGAATGCGACCCGCCCCTAAAGTAGGGGGAAGCTGGATAGAAGACACCAGTAGTACCTTGAATGTGCACCGTGTTGGGGGCGGTGTCCTCTGCTTAGTTGAAAGTACTTTCTCACCTCAGGTCCGCCACCCTCTGACTGTAGATAGACTGGCCCTTGGCCTAGGGTTAGGGTGATGTGGGACTGGTTTGAAGACAGAAGGTGTGTTCCTCCTCTGCATTTTAGAGTGTGGATAGGGCCTAAGCCTCAGGAATTGGGTTGGGGGGAAGGATATCACTGTATTGGGGTGTGAGATTTACCCTCAGTCCCCACTCCTCCTGTACCATCTTTTTCTACCTCCGGGGAGCTGGGGCTCCAGGGTGAAACAGTGCTGCCATGTTTGTAAGTGTGTATGTGCGTGTGCAAGAGAGGAGATATCTTAGATATTGCGTTTTCAGCCTAGGATACCTCTGCAGGGTTCTGCTTAATTGCTATCCAGTTTTTCATCTCCCAGACATACACATGCTGTCCCCCAAGCTTGGAATTTATGGCTGTGATATGGGATAGTAACAGTTAAGCCAGGCCAGGCGTGGTGGCTCATGCCTGTAATCCCAGCACTTTGGGAGGCTGAAATGGGAGGACTGCTTGAGGCCAGGAGTTGGAGACCAGCTTGGGCCACAGTGGGACCCACATCTCTACAAAAATAAAAATAAAAGTAGCCATGTGTGGCGTGTGTGCCTATAGTCCCAACTACTTGGGAGGCTAAGGTGAGAGGATGGCTTGGGCCCAGGAGTTTGAAGTTACAGTGAGCTATGATCATGCTGTAGCACTGCAGCCTGAGTGACAGGAAGGTGTTGCTAGGGAATTAGTGAACAATATGAATGAGTGTTCATTGCTTGTGCCAAGACACAGACGAATGGATTGGTCATAGAAAAGACTGAGGTGATGTTAGTGCAGGAACCTATATCCCTTGAGATTGTTTGCCTATATGTACCTGTGTGCATTTTCTGGGAGAAGAAAAGCTCTTTCTTGTCCAGTTTTCAAGGAGGCGTGACACATCCCCCTCACCTTCCAGAGATAATAAGTCTTTGATTTTAATTAGAAAGTTGACGTATAGCCGGGCGCGGTGGCTCAAGCCTGTAATCCCAGCACTTTGGAAGGCCGAGGCGGGTGGATCACAAGGTCAAGAGATCGAGACCATCCTGGTCAACATGGTGAAACCCCATCTCTACTAAAACTACAAAAAATTAGCTGGGCATGGTGGTGCGTGCCTGTAATCCCAGCTACTCAGGAGGCTGAGGCAGGAGAATTGCCTGAACCCAGGAGGCGGAGGTTGCAGTGAGCCGAGATTGCGCCATTGCACTCCAGCCTGGGTAACAAGAGCAAAACTCCGTCTCAAAAAAAAAAAGAAAGTTGACGTATATCCCATATAGTTGACTCCAGAAAGAAGAATCCAGAGGAAAGAGGACAGAATCAGAGCTTGGGAGAGGAGATGAGCATGGAGAGAAATGGGAATGGGAGAGCCAAGGAACAGGGCAGGTGGATCAAGGCTTAAAGTTGAGAAGGTACGATGGTTGAGCTGGAGGTGGAAAGGAAAAGAAGTGGTCTTCAGGGGACTCAATTGTAATAACCCGCCTGGTTAATTGGAGTCTCTCTCCTGACTTAAGGATTGTGGGATGAGGGTATTGTTATGTTTGGTTTCATAGAATCTCCAGGACTGGGTTCAGTATGGGTGGTCTGAGCCTGTGGAGTGGGGCTGACCCTGCCTAAGTTCATCTTGTGTCTCCATCCCGAGGTCTTCAAGCCATACCAGGCCTCCCAGCATGACATGTGCCGCTTCCACTCCGAGGACTACATTGACTTCCTGCAGAGAGTCAGCCCCACAAATATGCAAGGCTTCACCAAGAGTCTTAATGCCTTCAATGTAGGCGATGACTGGTAAGGAAGGTCTGGGACTTTTGATGTCCAACAGTTTAATTCCAGTCCCTTCAGTGAGGTCTTTTGGCACCAGTGGGAACATCTGAAGGGGGACCTGCTTGTCAAAGAAACATAATTCACTTATTTGTTTATTCAATAAATATTTATTGGTCATTTGCTCTAGGCTAGACCCTGTGCTAAGTGTTGGGAATGCAGTGATGAACAAAACCAAAATTTTAATATTGTATTTTTGCTAAGTCTTATGAAGAGGAGATATATGATATATTATGAGAGTGTATACATGGTGAATTTTCTAGCTTGGTGGAGTGGCTGGCTTCCTAGAGGAAGTAAAGATTGAGCTGAGATCTGAAAAAAGAGTAGAAGTAGTCAGATCAAAGGTGGTTGGAGGGTGAAGGAAAGAGTATAGCAGCAGTAGGGACAACATGTGCTAAGGGTCTGTGGTAGGATTGAGTATGACTCATTTGAGGAACAGAAAAAAGGCCAAGTGCAGAATATGAAGAGGCGGTGAACTGAACTGAGGCTAAAGAAATGGGGCCTTTTATAAGTAAACAGCTCTATTATGAATTGGAGCTTTTACTCCTAGAGTAGAGGGAAGTTATCAAAGTGTTTTAAAAAGCAAGAGATCTTAAGAGGACTATGGGCAGTTAAAAAAACAAACAAAGGAGTGGTTTGATATCATTAGGTTTACATTGAGCTTGTATTATCCATACAAGAGTCAGGGTTATGCTGTATGGGGAAGGGAGGGGACAACAAAGATAAGCCATGATCTCTTCTTTTCTTACACGCCACATCCATGAAAAAAATTGTAACCATCACAGCTACTGTTTACTCAATTCTACTTATTTTTGTTTTTAAACTTTTTACAAGGGAAAATTTCAAAAATTTCTGAAAGTGAAATAGTGCGGTAAACTCCCATACATCCATCACCTAGCTTCAACACTTATGAACAAATGGTCACTCTTTTTCTTCTTTTTTTTTTTTTTTTTTTGAGATGGAGTCTTACACTGTAGCCCAGGCTGGAATGCAGTGGCACGATCTCAGCTCACTGCAACCTCTGCTTCCTGGGTTCAGGTGATTCTCCTGCCTCAGCCTCTGGAGTTGCTGGGATTGTAGGCGTGTGCCACCACACCTGGCTAATTTTTGTATATTTAGTAGAGACAGAGTTTCACCATGTTGGCCAGGCTGGTTTTGTACTCCTGACCTCAGGTGATCCACCAGCCTTGGCCTCCCAAAGAGCTGGGATTATAGTTATGAGCCACTGCGCCTGGCCAAGCAAATGGCCACTCTTAACTTCATCTATACTCCTTTATGTTAGATTGCTTTAATGCAAATCCTACATGTCACATCCTTTTATCCATAAATATTTTATTATGTATCTCTAAATGATACCCTTTAAAAAAAAAAGTATCATTATCAAACCTAAAAAATTAACAGTGATTCCTTAATATCATCAGATATATAATCAGTATTCAGATTTCTGCAGTTGTCTCATAATTGTTTTGTGGTTAGTTTAAATTAGGATTTAAACAAGGTCTATACATTGCATTTGGTTGATATGTCTTTTAAGACTTTTAATTTGTAGCTTTTCTCTCACCCCCTTGAATTTATTTCTTGAAGAAACCAGGTTGCTGATCCTGTAGAGTGTCCTATGATAGCTACCATTTATTGAGTGTTTACTCTGCTAGGTATTATGCTGAGGGTTGCTGGTAAATCCACTTAATTCTCATACCAAGCCTTAGATGTATTATAATAGACCTTTTTCTGATGTTATACATAAGTAAATTGAGGTTTGGGAATATTTAGGTAACTTGGCCTCAGTCACATAACTGGTTATCGAAGCGTGTATGATCCAAATCCCAGGTTTTTAAGCCACTAACCTGTTTTCCTGAAAGATCTGAATGACAGAAGCAGCCAGGGTTAGAGGATAGAGGCCAACTCATTAGGCTGGCATTGGCACCTTTCCAACCTTATCCCTACACCTCAGCTGCACAGGTTACCTTCCTGGAATGCCCTTAGTTTTCTTTTCAGCCTCTTCAATGCCTTCTCAGCCTTCACACCACCTCCATGAAGCTTTCTTGACCATACCAGCCCACAGACCTCTGTCCTGCACACACTGCCCTGCTCATTTGGTGTTCAGTCGTGGGCTGTCTGGGGAGTTTTCTTGTTTTTTTGTTACTCCTGCTGCTATTTCTGAGCTCACTTTCTGGGTCTGAGAATACAGGGTCAGTCCTTAAGCCACACTGGGGTCCTGTAGATGTTCTTTGTGCAATTAGAGAATGCTAATTAGAATACTACCTCTGGGCCATTTACATTGCATCAGTCTTCCTGTCAAACAAGTTACAGTTGTTCTTATCTGTATTTCAGATGAGAATCAGGAATTTTTCTTCTGTTTAATGAATTTCTGATTGTTTTCAAAGTGATCTAACATAAATAGCCAAATTGTACTACAGGCCTTTAAATGAAAATTTTAAAAAAAGCAATTCCAGGCCGGGCCTGGTGGCTCACGCCTGTAATCCCAGCACTTTGGGAGGCTGAGGTGGGCAGATCACCTGAGGTCAGGAGTTTGAGATCAGCCTGGTCAACATGGCACAACCCTGTCTCTACTAAAAATGCAAAAATTAGCTGGGCGTGGTGACGCACGCCTGTGATCCCAGCTATACCTGGAGGCTGAGGCAGGAGAATTGCTTGAACCCAGAAGGCAGAGGTTGCAGTGAGTCAAGATCATGTCACTGTACTCCAGCCTGGGCAACACAGTGAGACTCTGTCTCAAAAAAGAAAAGGCAATTCCAGACCTCCTCTCCCTTTTACCCATAAATCCTTCTCCCTAGTGACAGTAACTTTCAGCTCCTTTCCCTAGGTCTTCTGGTATTTATCTTTGGATTTTTAAATAATAATAATATGAATCGACTATTATTACTAATTTGTAATATATAGGTAATACCTGTTATATACTAGGTACTATTCTAAGTGCTTTACAACCATTAGTTCATTTAATCTCAACAACCCCTATGAAGCAGGGTCTATTATTGTCCCCGTTACAGATGAGGACATTTAGGCACAGAAAGGTTAAGCAGTTTTGTACAGCCTCGCTAGTATCATTAGCAGGTATTTTGTTGTTTTTTTTTTGAGATGGAATCTTACTCTGTCGCCCAGGCTGGAGTACAATGTTGTGATCTCAGCTCACTGCAACCTCCGCCTCCCAGGTTCAAGCAATTCTCCTGTCTCAGCCTCCTGAGTAGCTGGGAGTACAGGTGCACTCCACCACGCCTGGCTAATTTTTGTATTGTTAGAGACGAGGTTTCACCATATTGGCCAGGCTGGTCTTGAACTCCTGACCTCATGATCCACCCACCTCGGCCTCCCAAAGTGCTGGGATTACAGGCGTAAACCATCATTCCCAGTCCATAGGTGTTAAAGAGCTAGAATTTGAACCTAGGTAGTCTGGCTTCAGAATCTGGGCTTGTAATCATACTGCCCTCCTGAATTGTCTCTCATTGCTATTTCTTTGTCAGTTTTAGGCATTATCTGATAAGCTGTTAGTATGGGATATGAGCATTTAGTCTTCTTAGAATCACATTGGCTTCCTTTCCCCTCCCAGCTTCATAGTAATTTAAAAATAAATCCGTATTCCATGTTTACGTTATTATAACTCTGAAAGATTCATTTATTACCAAGCCAAATGGTGTAGTGTGATTTAATCTATTTTCTTTTAAAGCTTTTTGTTTTTCCTGAAACTGACAATTGCATTATTTTTTCATTTGCTTAGTTTTCTAGATATTAGTCACTAATTCTTTCCAAACCTTTTGAGAGACTAAAACCCTACAATTCTTGCTTGAACCTGGGAGGCGGAAGCTGCAGTGAGTTGAGATAGCACCACTGCACTCCAGCCTGGGTGACAGAATGAGACACCATCTCAAAAAGCAAACAAACAGTCCGGGTGCAGTGGCTCACACCCGTAATCCCAGCACTTTGGGAGGCCAAGGTAGGCGGACCACCTGACATCAGGAGTTTGAAACGAGCCTGACCAACATGGCAAAACCCTTTGTCTACTAAAAATACAAAACTTAGCCGGGCGTGGTGTTGGGTGCCTGTAATCCCATCTACTCGGGAGGCTGAGGCAGGAGAATCGCTTGAACCTGGGAGTTGGAGGTTGCAGTGAGCTGAGATTGTACCATTGCACTCCAGTCTGAGTGACAGAGCAAGGGCTCCATCACAAAAACAAACAAAACCTACAGTTCTGTTTTTCACATGGTCAAATGTGTCAGCTGCACTATTTTTATATTTATTGTTTGAGACCTAAAACTAGGGATTGTTTAAGCCTTTCTTCTTTACAAAGTGAGGTTTATGTAGGTATAACTTACATACAGTAAAATTAACCGTTTTTAGGTGTAACAGTTCAGAGAGTTTTGATAGAATATATCAAGGTGTAGGGCCAGTGCTGATGGCTCAAGCCTGTAGTCCCAGCATTTTGGGAGGCCAAGGCGAGAGAATCACTTGAGCCCAGATGTTCAAGACCAGCTTGGCAACATAGTAAGACCCTGTCTGTACAAAAACTCTTAAAAATTAGCAAAGTGTGGTG